TGCAAAAATATCACAATTTTCGAAGACAATTCTATAATAATAATAATAATAATAATAATAATAATACAGGTTTGCGAACACAATGACACCAATACTGTTGTGTTTATACTGTTATAATTGCAATGAAATTTATTTAGAAAAAAAATATCATGTTATCTCAGAAAAGCATATTGTAACATAATTTAGCATGGTATCAACAGTTTATCATATCACCCAGCCCTAATTCCTCCTTTAATTTCTTAGAATAATAATCCATCATATTTTTTTTCCATTTATAGTTACATTTAATGTTGTGGAACATCTGCAAGATAGGTTACTTCCTGTTATCACTTACATTATAACAGCTATACATAGTGGTTCCCTCATCAGCCTTCTTTTTTTATTTTTTTTTTCTGAAGTTAAAAAAATGACGCTTGATATGTTATTGAGAAACAGAAAAGTGCAAAAAGTCCTACAGACTCTCCCTCCCGTGGCGGAAAGGTTATTGTCTGTTACAAAGCCCTGACACTGGAGACTCCTTCCAAAACTGTTCAGTAAACATCTCCTTATGAAAAAAAATCACAGTATCAACAATTATACGTCTTTGTTAAACAATATTTTTTAAAATTGGTTTATTATTAGGCTTAAATTATTTGTCACGCCCACCATATGCCCATCATTCCTGTGAATAAGTTGTTACTATAGAAACAATACCATATTATGATAAGCACAAGCTACTGTTTTCTAAAAAAAAATAATTAATCAGAGTTGAGAATTCAACAGCGCTGTGATACAACAGTATAATACTTCGGATCTTTTTCCTAGGCCTGTTGTCCTTTACATAAACTGATGCGAATGTTAAAGACAGAAGGACTGAAGTTTACACCACGGTAAGAAAATATAGGATGTTAAGCACACAGCACCTCCTGCCAATCATGTCTTATCCTCCAACAAATTGGGGCATCCAGACAGACATCCAGACCCACTCATAGCGGCCAATTCTCTAACGATTTTTATGACCTCTGTGGGCCCATTACAGTCTGCTTCCCACACCAACACCTGTTCAACAGCAACACTAATCAGTGCGTCCAAAGGAAACATCCCTACAACTCCCACCAGTGATCAACTCTCAGCAACAATCCATCTGTGTGCACATTAGAGCCTGGTGGACAGCCAGTGATGATGGAAAGTACGCAGTTACAGCATGTAATGGTAGCAGAGAGTGATTACAATATATGTTCATCTACCTGATGAGTGTTCTAAACCATGATAATAAAACAATGTACTAATTAATATATAAAACATGAGTATAGGAAAATAATTAGTGATGAGGTGGTGTGACACCAGACTAAATACTACTACTACTACTACTATTACTACTACTACTACTACTACTAATAATAATAATAATATTATCACATTCTGACATGGTTTATTCCTCTTACGCCTTAGCAAATTGCCAATGATTACAATTGTTTATTAATGAAAAAAAATGACATGTCTTTTTATCCATTTAGAGTTACATTTAATGTTGGGGAATGTCCATGAAATGTTTAGGTTAGTCCCTGTCATTCCCTCACCAGCCTCTCGTTTTTTCCTTTCTTGAAGTTAATACGATATGCGTTCTCCAAGAAACTGTCCTGTCCTGACGAATTTTTAGAAAACTTTCTGTTACAAAGTGCTTGCACTGGAGACTCCTTCCATAAATGTTAAATAAACATCTCCTTACAGAATGCTTCCCTGATATCATCTACTATATCAGAAGTTTTTCTTTGGTTTATGTTATGTAGAGTGTCTACCATACTAGTTCTTGTGAATAAGGGAAAAAATGGCATTTATTAATTTGGTAATTTTGCTGTAAATGAAAGTAAACTTCTGTCATCCATTTTCCCCCTTAACTTTGTGTTTCTCATGATGATGAATGCCATGTGCTCATGTTTGTTTTGGTTTCTAGTCCTGTCTCCACCCCTGTCCTGTCATTGGTTTGCTACCTGATTGTGTTCACTTGTTCCATGTTAGTCCTTGATTATTTTGTATATTATGTATCCTGATTTGTCAGTTTTATTATATAAGTCTTATTGTTCATTTTGGATTGTTAAGTCTGAGACTTGGATTCCTGATTTTTTTTCTTGCCTTTGTTTCAACTTTAATTATGGATTATCTTTTTTGATGTTGCCCCCTATATTAGCCCCTGTCACGTATTCCCCTTGCGCCAAGCGCTGCATGCTTCGGCTCTCAGTGTGCATCGCAGCTCTCAGCTCTACTGCACTTACTTCCATGTTGTGATGTTTGTTTATGTTGCCATGTGCATTTTTTGTTTTGGTTCATGACTTGTCTCCGCCTATCTTTTGTCACTGGTTTTCTCCCTAGTGGGTCTTGATTACTTTCACCTGTTTTCAGTTTGCCCCTTGATTTGTATTTAAGCCCTTGTGTTTCTTTGTTCATGGCGAAGTGTCCCGTACCTGCGATATCAGTTCAGTGTCCCGTACCTGCGATATCAAGCCTTTTGTTATTCTGCTATAGTGTTCATGGTCACGACTACATTTCTGGTTTCTAGGTTTATGTCTTTTGCCCAGTTAACTCACATCACCTGACTTCCTCCGCTATTCAGACTTTGATTCTGCTTCACATTTTGGATTTGTTTGCCTGTTTAATAATAAAGACGCTTAACCTGCAACTGTCTCCGTCTCTGCTGCCTGACAGCCCCAACTATGATTCTTGGAGTTCAGGCAGTTGTGTCCTTCCTCTTGACACATATTACAACTCCAACTCCAAAGACATTTCCAGTGTACACAATAAAATAAACATAGACTCGCATATTCAATTATCAGTGTCATGTTCATTGTTCTTGATGTGAAACCAGTAATCTTATATTAGTATTCCAAGTCCAGTGATGTTTTTCCACTTCAGATTTGACAGACGATCCTTAGAAGAAATTCTATTGGATGAAATGTTCACCCATGTTCTTAATCTAAGATATTTTTTCAGTAATGGGAGTATGAAATTACAGGGGCGTACAACCACTACCATAGCTGACTTGTAAGCGTAATTAATGTAAAGATGATCACCCTTTAAAGGAACACAAATTATTAAGTATCATAATCTTTCCTGTGTCACAGTTTAGGAAGAGATCCTTGGCAGTCTCACCAGGCAATTCGTATAGGATAAAACATTTTTGGACAGCTACCCGACCATTAAGTGAGATCCATTTCAATGCTCACTGGAGCATGTGAACAAATAGATCTATATAGTGGTCAGGCCCAAAGTAAAAAAAGAAAGCCTCTGCTGCAGGCCTGAGTTATTGCATTAGAGCTCCGCGGCATTGTGATTTTACGCTCAGCCATGGCACACATAAAGATCAGCCCACAAAGAGAGAGAGAGAGTGAGCCTGTAGTTTTCCCCATTCCCACAATTCCACGTCTAAACTGGGCACAGTGCTACTTTAGTTCAGCCTGAGGGGCCATTCATTGGCAGGTGAAACACCTCAATGACTTCTTTCACACCTCTGGCGTTGCTGTCACAGTGTGAATACCAGACCCGCTCTAGCGTTTCCACAGGACTTTATCTGGATAGCACAATGCATGCACTACATGGATGTCTGGGTGCCTTTGTCCCTCCATCTGGGATCCAGGTGAATGGGTGAATGGTTCCTCTTACAATCAGTTGCACAAGAGATAGACTTTATCTAGTTCAGAGGTTTCACCAGTTGGAATGGGAGCCATCCCACCTGTCAGGTCTAATACCATCCATCAACCAATTCCACTAAATTCAAGTTCTTTGAAACTCACAGATTAAATGTTAACTAATTGCAAAGCACTACAAAGTGTATGAATAAACTTTATTGCTGCAAATTCATTAAGATTTGCATGAAATGATCAACCCATTCTCATAGATATATTTCCCTTATATATGTTGAATCAGTGTTCTGTCATGAGCACACAATGTATATTGATGTATCAAACTTTCACTAGACCACTTTTAAGGGTCAAATTCTCCAGTGTTACTTAATCACGCCCGCATCTCCACTACACTGTTTGAATGAGGTTGATATTTACAAATACATTGATCAATTTTTAAATATATAGGTATTCAGAGTTGTATTCAGAAATGATTTAAGTATACATACTGAGGAGAAAATTGACTTAAGGAGGTGCAGAACCTGTCTCTGAATATGAGGAACTTTCCCTGCATAAATGAAGTTAACTTAAGTTACAAACTCTGACTAGTTGGTTATCTATATATACATACTATAAAGTCACAAATTTCTGCTCTGTCTTTATCTTACGTCATCTTAAGATTTTTTTTACATACAATTTTTTGCTAGAAATTTTTCAAAACATTTAAATGGCAGCCCAGGCTTTGAGGAGTAGCAGGCAGACGGCGAGGTGGCAAGCGCAAAAACTCTGTCACAAGTAACGATAAAAGCTACTATTGGCTACAATGGAGGTTAAAGTTCAAGTGTGGTCTTTTTGTAATGCTCTTTTTTTTTGCTTCACCATATTTACATATAAGTTACACTGATAGTTTTCCTTACATTACATATGTACACACCAACAGGTGTAACATATCTGTATCTGTATATGGTTAGTGCTCCAAATATCCATATCCATATCTGTACACAGAAGGCGTGGCCTAAACCAGTAATTTCTTTTCCCAAAGCATTTCACTCTAATGAATACTACTACTACTACTACTACTAATAATAATAATGATAATAATAATAATGGACGTGAACATTTGTGCCCATTCACTTGAGTCCTTCCACTCCAACCTTGGCAAAGCATGTCTTCATGCATCTCACTTTGTGCACAGGGGCATTGTCATGCTGGAATTAGTTCCAGTGACAGGAAATCTTAATCCTGCAGTATACAAAGACATTCTAGACAGTTGTGTGCTTCCACTTTTGTGGCAACAGTTTAGGGAAGGCCCACACATTGGTGTGATGGTCAGGTGTCCACATGCGTTTGGCCATATAATGTAGTTTAATTCTATTTCCCAAAATATATTAGGGAAGTTATTAGGGCAGTGGTAGCGCAACGGTTTAGGCTCTGGGTTAATGATCAGGAAGTCGGAGTTCAAGCCCCAGCACTGCCAAGCTGCCACTGTTGGGCTCTTGAGCAAGGCCCTTAACCCTCTCTGCTCCAGGGGTGCCATATCATGGCTGACCCTGTGCTCTGACCCCAACTTCCTAACAAGCTGGGATGTGTGAAGAAAAGAATTTCACTGTGTTGTAAGGTATATGTGACAAATTCAGGCTTCTTCTATTCAATGTTGTCTTCCATTCTAACCCTGAGCTTGTGCCCACCTGAAAGTAAAAAAATCCTATTTCATTGTTTTTTGTTATGAATATGAATAGTGCGCCTCCTCTTCGTATCTGTATTCATTTAGAACACATTTTCTGTTCGTTTCAAATAATGTTTTTATATATTTCATTAGATCCCTAATACAAACCTGTGCATGTGCATAAATATTTGACGTTTGTGTCCATGGTGAAGAAATGATTTTGTATCTAGATGACACACACCTATAAGAGGAACTAGTGCCTGTATATTTTAGACAGTGGATTGTGGTACAGTAGCATAAATACCTGCATAATATTGGAACTTCCATCCACACTGATAAAAGAGGATTTCTAAAGGGAATCAAATAGCAATCTTCACTCTCCCTGGCCAACTCTGGATGACAGCTTCAGACTTTATATAGATTATAATTGTTTTTCCTTCTTCAGTTTCATTTTTTTTCTTTTCTTTCTTTTTATTTTGGGGGAGGGGGAGACAGGGTTTGGTGACACGAGGTCATTTCTTTTAGGCATCTTCAATCCTGCTTTATTGTTTCCCCAGGTCACGAGGGTCGACACATATCACAGCTATTATTCTGCTCTAACAAATGGCTGCCCGCTCCTTTTGATGTATGGCTCCCTATGTGAGTCACTCCCATAATACTGGTGACAGATTTTTTTTTTTCCTTATTTTTTTTCCACAATGATAAATCTTTCTGCATTTATTTTGTCACTGCATCCTTTTAAATCACAATATTATGTGAAGACATGATTGATAATCACACTTTTGACAAAGAATCATCTTAAAGGGCAGCTTCAACACATCACGTGCGCCACTTGGGTAATATTTGAAATTGCATTTGATGCCACGTTCATAGTAGAGTTATGTATGGTTACTGTGTAGATCACGAGAAGTAGGGTTCAGTGTCTCGGCTTCAAGGGCCATGTATCTAATGACCAAATATCTTATGATGCATCCATAACGCATTATATACATACTAATTATTTTGTAATAATTGTTATAAATAAGTAATAAATTATAAATATAAAATTAATCACTTATAATCATTTAAATTATTTATGTATAAGGCATCACTGTTTGTTGCAATATTTATAATGGATTTATAAATTGTTAACATAATGTGTATTAAGCAGTGTTTATAACACATTATACCGCACATATCATGCACATATAATGCATGATTCATGTTAACAATTCATAATGCACTGTAAAGATAGGTATAAAGTGTCATAAATAATTAAACCAATATATATATATATATATATAAAGCCTTATGAACAGCTTATAACATGATGAGAATGTGTTCCTTGTTTATTATAGATATGACCTTCATAGAAAGTGTTACTGAAAGTACGAAATTTTTCATTCATTAACAAAAAGAAAAAAAAGAAAAAAAAAAGAGAAAGTTTTACCTCTGGCTAGGATTTCAGTTGTGACTAAATTTGCCAGCTGAAGGGACATTTGGTCTTTAATGAGCTTCTTGTGCTAAAGTTGGGAGCAGGGATTTTGTCCGACTGCATCTGCCATTCAGCGAAGTGTTTTCTGTCTGAGCTTTTCATAAGAATGAGTTCTACTATCTGGGGTGTTGCTCGGCTTACACACTGGGGCAAACATTTTGAATCCTGAGCTACACGTGCCAAGCTCGGGCCTCACTAAGGAAGCACTCAGGCGAGTTTGTTTAGCTCCCTGCGGCTAGCTTTGAGCTCATTATTGAAAGCCCAAAACCGTACCCCGGCTGGTGAATTATTTATGCAGCCTGCCGCATGGTCAAGGGCTCTTGTGCTTTGCCATGTGTGCAGGATTTTAATTAAACAGTGCCAGTCACCCTAACACGGGCCACTATGACAGACAGAGGGATCTAGTGAAATGTTACACACGTATTCATGATGGTGCCAACAAGAGATGAGTGTCATGATCACAGTGCATCCTAAAGATGTCAATAGTTATATTACAAAGTGAAATCAAAATAGAATCTTGAGAGTAATTAAACCCTAAAAATTGTGTACGTTCCCATCAATGCAATATGTAAGGAATAAATTATGATCGCTATAAAGCGTGCTGTTATAGGAAAATAATTAACGACATTACGGCATGATGTGACCCGAAGTGGATTAGCATCCTATAACATCCTGAAGAATCTTATACCACAGCTACTTGCCAGTAATTACATTACTTTGTATCCATTTTTAGTTACTTTTATGAGACAAGTTATCGCTTATGTTATAACGGCTATAAACTGTTGTTCCCTCATCAGCCTTTCTTTTTCTTTCTCTTGAGGTTAATAATCCAAAAAAATGCAGCTTGTCATTTTTCAGAGAAACCCCAAAGCGTAACCTCTTCTGTCCTGAAGACTTTCCCATGGAGGAAAACTTGACATTGGAGACTCCTTCCATTAATGTTAAACAAATATCGGCTTATGGAAATGCCATAGTAGTCCCTGTGAGTTGTTGTAATAGAAATGATTCTCTTTGCATTAATATAAAACTATCATTTCAATTACAGCTAGAACTACTGTCCAAGCTGCTGTTAGAGAATATTAATCAACATCTTCATGCCAATCAGATTTGATCAGATGTTGCCTTCTTGGAAGGAGTCTCCAGTGCCAGCACTTTGTAATAGTCAGAGGTAAAGCTGTAACTTTTTCACCACAGCATAGTCGCTTTGCTTTGAGGTTTCTTGGTAACATGACAAACTGGATTTTTTTTTGTCTTTATTAACTCAAAGAGAGAGAGGGGGAAAAAAAAACAGAGGCGGGTGATGGACAGTTGATGGACAGTGATGGACAGGTGACAGTTTGTAACTGCTAACTTTTTAATGTAACTTTAAATGTGACTATAACCAGACAAAGAGTATGACGTCAGTCTTCGTTTAATACACAATTGTATGTGCTGTAAGTGTTGCTGTGGTATTAAACAGCTTATAAACCACTTAGGGATGTGCTGTTATTGGAAAATAATCAACTTCAAGCTGGTAACAGGAGCCGCTGATTATTTTCCAGCAACAGCGCATCCCGAGCTGATTTATTTCTATAATGCAATTCAAAGAATAGCTTAACAGCATGCGAAGACACGTTCACTTTAATACAATATAGTATTCGTTTTTCTCTCATCTCTAATGACTTCGTTAATAAATGTTCCTCTTACGGACTCAGTTCACAAACGAGACGATTTCCTCTCAGCGCATGTTATTTGGTCGAGTGGAATATTCTCGGATGATAAAAGATGTTTAGTATTAGCTCTGAGGTTTGATTGCCACTGGATCCTCTCATTAGGCATGAAAAAAAAAACAAGCATGTACGAAATATATAAATAAATGCAAAAAAGAGCAACAAGTCATTAAATATTTATTCTGGCAGTAATTGGCAAACATCTGATGGAACAGCGTGAGGTCTCGCTCTCGAGTCCTAAACTCTCAGCTCATAGATGTTTTAAAGCTCTGTGAGTGTTTTGCCAATAACGGGCAATAGACGACTCCAGCCATTGCAGATGCTGTTTTATCCGTGATACCAATGCAGACATGGAGGGACGGAAAAAACACAAGACCTTACCTCATACATTTCAAATACACCAAAAGTAAAATTATCGTATTTGAGAGAGAAAAGCAAAATGGGGAATTATACAGAAAGAGCATAATACCTGATTTTCCTTTCTTTTTCTTTCTCTTTCTCAGTCACCCCCCACCCCATACACACACACACACACACACACACACACGCACACACCAGGCACATGGGGCTTCCGTATGACCTTTCGTCTGAGCGTATCATCACAAACCAGGATCCAAGACCTAATCCAATACCCAGAAGTAATTAGCATAGCATTAACTGAGTACCAGATAATACCCAGACCCATATTAGTATTTTTACAGAACTATGTGCAGTGTGTGCACAAGCAAGCAACTGGGACTGTGTATTGATCTTTCTAAAATGTTATAGACATATTAAGGACACAGAAAACAACAAGGGAATAGCAGCAATGTATGAGAGAGATCTTATCATGTGTTAATAATGGCTGGCATGATAGTGTATTTATTTTAGACACTGGTGTGAATGAATTCTAGACAGCGCTCTGACGATTTGCACAAAAACATAGTTTTCTTACATAGTAAGAATTCTCAAATCTGATTGGTCAGAAGGGAGGGATTACTTTTCGATAACAGCAGCTTGGACGACACTTTTTATAATGAACAATGAACACATTCTTATAATGTTATAATGCATTCAAATGTAATTAATACGCATTGTTATAATAATACTATACTATATATAGTTATATTATAATATGCATTATGAATTGTTAACATGATGCATTATAAGTAATGTTCATAACACACCAATACTGAAAAAAGAGCTTTGTATAGTGTATCATGAGACCTGTCTTGCTTTTAATTTCTTTAATAAATGAAATAAAAGAGATGCATTTATCATAAAATCACTCTAACAACACATTCTATGTAGGCCATATGTATAATGACTTATGAATGCATTTATAACATGTTATAATGCATTCATAAAGCATTATACATGCCATTATAATTATTTTTGAAAAAGTATTGCAGTTTGTAGCATTGTTTATAATGCATTTATTCATTGTTAAAAGAATGCATGATATGTAGTGCTTATAACACATTATATCACCATTCTGTCATCTCATGATGCCATGTGCAAAGTGGGGCTTGGTTCTATAATGTGTTATGAACACTACTTTTTAATGCATCATGTTAATGATTCATACCGCATAATAAAAATAGATATAAAGCGTAATGCAGTTTCATAAACGACTACAACATTGCCTT